TTTGTCCTCCTAATAAAATATTTAAACATGACTGTCATGTCCCCTCTTAACCTTCTCCTCTCCAACATACATAAGCTGCTCCTTGTAGGACTTGACTTCCAGATCTTTTCCATTTTGGTCACCCAATTTAAAGTGTTTGTCATTTTGTCTGTCACAGTAATTTGCATGCTTGATCATGGAGTAATCAGCCTCAGTGTGCTATGTAAGGTAAAGGTAAAGGTAGTCCCCTGACATTAAGTCCAGTCATGTCTGACTCTGGGGTGTGGTGCTCATCTCCATTTCTAAGCCGAAGAACCAGCGTTGTCCGTAGACACCTCCAAGGTCATGTGGCCAGCATGACTGCATGGAGCGCCGTTACGTAACAGCGCTATGTAAGGGAACTCAAATAAAAATTGCAGTAAAGTTTTAGACCCACTCTACAAAATACAGGTTTCTTCCTCACTTCCAATTTTGGCATTGCTGTTGTTGTGATGATGATATTCTAAGAGGAACAAAGTTTGACATTGTTATTAGGTTTGATTCTCAAGATCTTTGCACAAGTTCAAGACTGATTGACCAACTCCAACTTTTTCTGGAAATGGCTGGTTTCCATCTGTTTTACACAAAACTTAGTATGCTTTTCTTGCAGGTCAGAACCCAGCCTCAGGATTTCAGATCTAAATCACCCATAAGCACCTCTGTTCTCAATTGTTGTGTCTAAAAATGCAAGGAAAACCACACATAAAGTCAATGGTAGAGGGTATCATATTTCAAATTATAACTGCTGTGTCTCTTCTCCCTCATACCAAATAATATAATGAAGCAAATTATCCTACCTTTTCTTTCCTTTTTCAGCAAGTATCCAGAAGTGGTCTTTCTATCCTAAGCCCCCCCAAATCTAGGCTAAATGTAACTGACAGCAAAGCTACCTTTCTGGATGAACAGCAACCAATTAAGCATCGTTGTAACTGCTGACAAAACACACATTGTAACTGCTGACAAAAGAGCATCAGGTTGTGAGAGCATTCAACAGCACCAGTAGACTCCTAAATTTCATTGTAGTTCCTACAAACAAGAATGAGTAATGTAAATGTCTTAGAAACTATGTGTTTTAGCCACAATCCATTGCCCTTTTCCATCACTATGTCCAGTCTGGTTTCCTCCTAGTAGCTACCAATTAATGCCAAAGCATCTTCCAAATTCCACTTTAATATACATCCCAGAACAAGACATACAACAGTGATCTCAATATAAATCCAGTTTTAGCATCAGTGAATTCAATGTCATTGGGCAATGAATCTGATGTTCTACACTTTCTTCAAAAGAGTTATCCATGGTGCTGAAACTTGTGTCCAAACTAATATCAGCACCTTAGATGACTCCTTTAAAGTTGTGGTTAAAACTCGCAGTGGATTCACCACCCCCACTGACACGGAACACACCAGCAGCCAGTGGAATCTAGTGTTCCTTTGTGTGGTTGCTAAGCTTCTTTTCCCAGCTGGGCTGTTGTACCTTTTCAGACTTTCCTGATCATTTGCAAGCTTTGATGTCTTGACAGCCTTCTTTTCCCAATTGGGTTCTTGTACCCTTTTAAGCTTTCCTGTACATTTGCAAGCTTCCATGTCTGTGTGACAGTTGAAAACTGTCACTAGCATGCTGACTCACTGATGGATAAAATTGTTCTCTGTTACACTGCTAACTATCATGCAAATGTTCCAGAACCCTGCCAACCTAAATAAAAGGCCAGTAACTCTCTTAATCTGTCTGCTTTCAGAATGTTCTCCATGACTGATGCTGTTCAACAAAAGCTCGGACTATCTCTGCAGTTCTCTTTATGATAGTGCAAGGGATCAAATAGGATCGTGTAATTTATTTTTATGTAAGATGACTTCAGTTCTGCTTTTGAGCTGAAGAGCAGTGTGCAAGGTGACTAACAATTCCTTTTTAAACTTTTATCTATATCAATGGGACATTTGGGTCTTCCAGAGTCATGTTTTCTTGCAGAATTCACACAGATCTGGGCTTACAAGGCCAACATTTTGGTTCAATTCCATCGTTGGTGGAGTTCAGAATGCTCTTTGATTGTAGGTGAACTATAAATCCAAATGACATAATCAGTCCCTAACCCCACCAGTATTCAGATTTGGGCATATCGGATATTTGTGTCAAATTTGGTCCAGTATATAAAAATATTTCCTGCATATCAGATATTTATATTAAAGTTCATAACTAGCAAAATTACAGTTATGAAGTAGCAACAAAAATAATTTTATGGTTGAGGGTCACCACAACATGAGAAACTATATCAAGGGGTCACAGCATTAGGAAGATTGAGACACACTGTATGAAATAGTCTTTGGAGTCCCTTTGAGTTTTCTGATTCTATGGTTTATATCCAGTAAAGCAGTTATGTTAGAAAGGGTTTCTTCAAAATGGTTTCAGACCTAGGGCATTTCCCAACTTCTGCAGTTCCCGAATATGCCAGAAATGGTTCCTGATGAGCAAAGCAGTGACAGAAAAAGATTTCTGTGTTCACAGGGTAAATAAAAGATTCATTTGCAGTCTAGAGATAAAATGACATGGCAACAACACTACGTTGGTGACGTCAGGCTATAGAAATACTAGTCAAACAGGCTATACTGCTGCATAACATTGGTTCACGTCCAAACTGGCTCTGTGTTGCATATTCCAGTTACGTATTTCTTGGAGTATGTCCTTGTAGCAATGTTAATAGTCATCCCAGTCTAGATAGACCGCATGCCAATGCTTCCCGTAATCATGTATCTTCAAAAAGACTAGCAAGATGGCTTTACCGATTGTGTTTGTAGCTGCTCAGGATTGCTTTGGAATCTTATTCAGGATTTTTCAGTGAAAAGTCTTTATCAATCCAAAGCTGTTACAGAAGTGATGAATGAGTTGAAAGGTACACTAAGTTTTAGCACTTAGTTCCAGCAGCTGGGCATTATAGCCCTGACAGGAGACCTGCATGAATACTGATTCAAACCTAGAACACATCCTAGATTTTTCCGCAATGTGAAATCTCTTCAAGGGCAAACAAGACTTCTGCTACTGTCAGCTTGATAAGAACGGTTTACCTGAGGCACTTGAAAAGGCAATGACCTACCACAAGCAAAGGCATGACAAATGGAAGGGAATCTCTGCAAACTACAAATATTCATGAATGGAGGCCCTTCATGGTAGAAACAATGCATCTATTCTCAAATTGCTCAAACTGAGGCATGGTATTAACTCATCATTCTTGCTCAGGTTACAGTTTCCTTATACCTTCCAGCACTCGTACACAACTCTCTCCTTGATTCTCTGAATTAGTCACCTTGCTTTTCTTCCTAGGGTATTAGTACTAGTAAATCAAGACATTTGCTAATATACCATTTATAGCAGTCTGGATAGTACAGTTGATAAGACTACTGATGGGAACTGAACCATTTCTCAGCCAACTTAGATATCATTAAACGTATAAATGTCTATATGTTATGAATGTTCGACAAATATGGGATAGTCATCGGGATTTTAAAAATGAGGAGGCAAACTTTACTTTTACTGTTTAAAAAATATAAATATTGTACACATTTTTCTTGACCAGGTTGTGAAACAAGTAAGACATCAAGTTATCATAGTTATTTCCTGCCAAAATGGTTCCATAGGTATCAGATGTCTGACTGAAACAGTGACTGAAATCATAAGCATAGCACTGTGCATTGTGCTGCTCCCACTCCCACTCCCAGAAAGCAGCCTTCAAGACCCAGAAGTGCTGTCACTACCTTTCAGTGGTCAAGAGCAGTGGTTCCAAACCTTTTTTGATCAGGGACCACTTGACCAAGGACCACTTTGACCAAGGACCACTCTCCAACATTAGTACCAAAAGGGTTACGGATCAGTTTTTGGTCAACTTTAAATTTGGTTTCGTTATTTGTGGTGCTGATTCAGAAAATTGCATTGGCTAGACCACATCAGCTCTGGTTTCTGATACAGAAGATATACTATCCAGTAGTCACTATCTGCTTGCCCACAGAAAATGATATTTAATATTCTAGAGCTGATGTGGTTTATCCAATGCAGTTTTCTGCATCAACACCCCAAATAACCTCAGGAACAGGCCTAAAAATGAAGCCACCAAGGCTTCCCCACTTCCAGGTGCCACATGGAATAGCTCCGCTCAGAGAGAGGGAGGAGGAGAAGAAGCAGTAGTCAGGAGACTTGTTGTCATGCCTTTCATAGGTAGTCAGCCTCTCTTCTCCCAGCATTCCCATTGCCTCAGCACTATAAGAGTGTTTCATGAGACCAGTCACTCCCGTTGCAACGGTGTTGTAATGGTGAGGCCACAAACCATATTCTAGTTCTTACGGACCACCGGTGCTCCACAGACCACAGGTTGGAAACCTCTGGTCATTAGGAAGGAAAGAGAAGAACAGCCAGAAGAAGAGACTGTCTTTCTAGATCTCTAGCCGTTTGTTAGTTATGCATAATCAATGGCTGCATGTCCAATACTTTCTAAGCTACAATGTTGCTGCTAGAGCATGAGGAGTAGGGATGGACTGATTTGTTTTGCACCATTCCCCAGTCTGAATCTTAAGACTAATCAGCAACCTACAAAGTATTTTTTTCTGGATTTTCCAGTGCAGATTCCAAAATATGTATACAAATGCATCTGTTCTGGAAAATTTCAAAATCTAATTGGTGATCTGCAAAAAATTATATAATTTTTCATGTGGATTTTTTTAAAAAAATGAAAATTCATATAGAAACAGGATGGAACAAGTGTGTGCTTGAAAAACACGTGAACATTATGGAATCTGAAACTGACTTTCATTCATGGAAATCTCAAGACACTGCTTCCTGAAAATGGGAGAGAAATCTGAAAGGGTATGATGTTATCTCTCAAGGAACCCTTCAGGCTCAATTGTGAGATGCTAAGATTTCTACATCCAAATCTAAATGATTGACAATCTGCAGAGAATAGAAGGATATCTTCTAACCGAGTTCCATAATTACTATTTCAGGTGCTATTGCTCATCGAGGCAATAAATCATGATCCTCCAACTCCCACTGATTTATTGGTAAGTAGGCTTTCATTTTCTCCCTAGTATATCCCATACTACATGTGGTAGTTTGAGCATTGGACTAGGATTCTGAAAATTAGGGTTCACATTCCTGCTTGGCCATGGAAACCCACTAGGTGATCTTAGGCAAGGCACACTATCTTAGCCTCAGAGGGAAGTAAAGGGAAACACCTTCTGAACAAATGTTGCCAAGGAAGCTCCGTGATAGGGTTGCCTTAGGGTCACTGTAAATCAGAAACAACCTAGACACATAACAATAACAATAGTAGCAGTAGCAACAAGATCTTTAAGTTACAGTTTTCATGGATTGCACATTGTTTACAATTTTAGCTTGAACACAGTTTTCTGTTATGAGGAAATATTTTACAATAGTTATGGGGAATCTCTTCCTCCATGGCAATCAAACTATCTACTATTTCCATAATGCCTCAAACTAGAAAAGGAATAGACAGGAAACTTAAAAAATCAAACATCCCCCCCCCCCCTTAACAGCCAGAGATTAATGCAGAAGTAAAAGATTATACATGAAATTTCCCCCAGAATATCAACTGGGAAGAAATCAGAAGCCATTTCAAAATTATCTCAAAAAAAGATGAAAGTTGACTCCAAACACAATATTTACAGTGGCCAATTATGTGTGATGAAATGCACTTTTTCCCCTCCCCATGACATACATTGCATGAAAGTTGTATAGGTTTCCCCTTGACATTAGATTAGTTCCGTCTGACTCCGGGGATGATTCTCCTCTCCATTTCTAAGCCAAAGAGCCAGTGTTGTCCATAGACACTTTCAAGGTCATGTGACTAGCATGAATAAATGGAGCGCCATTACTTTCCCACCTATTAATCTACTCACATTTGCATGTTTTCAAACTGCTAGGTTGGCATAACCTGGTGCTAACAGCAGGGGCTCACCCCACTATCTGGATTCGAACTGCCAACCTTTTGTCAGCAAGTTCAGCAGCTCAGCAATTTAACCTGCTGCACCACCAGGGGCTCCAAAAGTTGTATATAATAATAATATAATAAACTTTATTTATACCCTGCCACCATCTCCCCAACGGGGACTCGGGGTGGATTACATGAGGCTAAGCCCAGACAACATATTACAGCAAAATAAAACCAAAACATAAGCAACAAGCAACAGTATCAAAATTACATTAAAAAAACATGAATATAGTAAGAAAATAACATTACAATAAACACAATCCCAGTGACAGTGGGCGGGCCACATGTGCAGGATAAAATGTTAAAAAACTCGAATGAGATAAGAAGAGGAGCAAGTTATTTGCAGAGAGCTCATAAAGAAACACAGGGTTGTGAAACTGGATTTAAATATACAAATGCAGATTTAATAAATAATTATTGTTGAAATTTCATGGGGTGGGTATAATCGAGCCATGCTCTCTGTTCACAGGTTTCTTTGGACAACCATCTAAAATGAGGACTGTTTTATATAGATCATATAGTTACCATTTCACAGAGCAGAGGAAATAATTATGAAGTCTGTAGTGTAAATATGTGCACAGTTAGTTGGGTACTGTGCCAGAAACAGAGCCCACTAGCCATAAATGCTAGACCACTTCTTGCATGTAAATGAAGGACAAACATGTCCACAGTTAGTTAGGCTCCATGCTAGAAATTGTGATCTCACTAGCCATAAACACTAACCTACTTCTATGAAAAGGAAGTACAAATACAATAAAAGGATGTTTGTGAGTAATGTCTGTTGTATCTGGGAACTTTAGTGAGTCAAAGGGTTGAAACAGTAGGTCAGAGGTCTTGCAAAGACATCCAGGCCACCCTCTGCCTAGCTGCATCTCCGATGAAAGGATGATAATACAATTTGTTAGCTTGGTGATGGGAAGAAATGTAGGTCAATACTGCAGTTTTGAGGAATGATTAACTTCTGGGCAAACATACAGTTACTCTGAAGTCCAGGTATTTCAGTTTAGGAAAAAGGCTTATGAAAAGTCCTGCCCTTTTTTCCAAGACTCTTTTGTCTTGACCATCTGACTGGATTAAATACTTTCAAAAGGTTCTCAGGAAGATTTGACAAGCTTTTCAAGTTTGGAAGCCTGAAACACTACATTTCATTTCTGACCAAAGCCACTAAGTGGCGAAGAATTGTACAAACCGAGTGCTCGGCTATCTGCGTTTTTTTCCGCCTCCATTTCTTAAATGAAGCTGTTTTAACAAATGAACCTGTCTCATCATCGGTGTTGGTAATGTTCCTACTCTGATATCTGCTCAAAATGTGGCTTCTATTGGAGACAAAGAGACAACACCTTCAGCACATAAAGTAGGCAGCAACTGTTTAATAAGAGTGGGTGAATGTTTACAATGTGCGCTGCAGTAGTGTAATTACCACACACTGTAATTACAGGCGTCTGAATGTGGTTCTCCCTGCTTCTGCCTCACTTTTCAGAAAAGGTTTATGTTTAATTTCAGCTCCTGATTTCAGGCTGAGTACAAAATTATGCCGGCTAATATTTAACCAAGAAAATAACTCTCGGTTTGTAGTTTTAACCCTCTTGGCAATAGGGAAACACCCTTGCTTTTCACCCACAATATTAACTTTGAAATATTTTGTTCTCCCAGTTACCCATTTCACTTTCTACATGTTTTCAGAATGCATAGCTCTAGATTCTTTTCAAGCTGTATAGTTCTGTCTTTTTTTAATGAAAGACACAACTGTTTGGGGAAACTGAGAGAACCCTGCTATTTTCGGTTTGATACATTTTATACAATACATGAAATAACCTGATGCCTCATATGTGTTTCTGTGTATCTTTTCAGATATCAAACAAGAAGAATCCAGATGGGGTGCAGGTGCTGTAAAATGATACAAAGGTGAGAGCAGACCCAGTATCACTTGAGGACCGGCTAATATTTTTTTAATTGGTTTTTCTAAGAGTAGTAAACTTCAGTCAGCATTGATACTGTTGCAAATTATTCATCCTTAGTATATGCTGAGTTGGAACACTCCTGTGAATACAACCAACAACAATGACATTTAAACTATGAGTATCAATTTTGCAGATGGTGGGCCACAGGAGACCCAGTATGTACCCCATTTGCAACTCCCAGTGTATCAGTTACGCCCATTCACCCTCATTCCTGCCCCAATAAGCCCTTTTGGGTATCACTGTTTGCTAATACATTTCAGAAGCCACATACACACTCCCTCCCAGTTTGTTTCCCAAAAGAATAGCCTTGTACAAGAGCTGGCAGACTACTTTACTTGCTTGAGGAAGGAGTCACAACTACACATCACCTCCTCCAAGTAATGAAAGCACAGCTGCTGATTTCTTTAAAATGCTGTGCCTGATTCCAGAGGTTCTGAGAGAAAGTATTTTAAAGAGGAAGCAACCTTATTTCCAATACTCTAATGCAGTAGTTTCCCCTTTTTTGACCAAGGATCACTTGACCAGGGACCACTCTCCAACATTAGTACACAAAGGGTTACAAATCAGTTTTTGGTCAACTTTAGATTTGGTTTGATTAGTTGGGGTGCTAATTCAGAAAATTTGCATTGGATAGACCATATCAGCTCTAGTTTCTGATACAGAACATATGCCATCCAGTAGTCACCATCTGCTTGTCCACAGAAAACCATATTTAATATGCCTCGGCACTATAAGATGGTTTTGTAAGATTAGTTGCTCTCATTGCAATGGTGTAGTAACAGTGAGGCTGCGAACCATATTTTAGCTCTTGCAGACCACTGGTGGTCCACAAACCACAGGTTGGGAACCACTGCTGTAAGGCAATGGTTCCCAAACTGTGCTTCACAGAGACCTTAGGGCAGTGGTTCTCAACCTGGGGTCCCCAGATGTTTTTGGCCTTCAACTCCCAGAAATCCTAACAGCTGGTAAACTGGCTGGGATTTCTGGGAGTTGTAGGCCAAAAACATCTGGGGACCCCAGGTTGAGAACCACTGCCTTAGGGCTTCATGCACAGTCAGGGGCTCCATGCTTCCTTCCTCCTCTCCCCTCTTTCTCCACATCCTCCAAGTACATGGCAGTGGGGAAGAAGGCACTGGTCAGCTGGTTGCTCCTTCCTTCCCTTCCCCTTCCTTTCCCTCCTTCTCTTCCTTGCAGTGCAGGCCCTTTCCTCCATTCCACAACCCTCTTCTTGCATGGTAGAAGAGGGTTGGACTGGATGATTCCTGGGGTCTTCCACTGAAATACTGTTAAGTTTATGTTGGTTAAAACTGTACTTCATTTTATATATTGTATTCTTCATTTTTCTTTCTTTTTGCCCTGCAAATGAGATATGTGCAGTGTGCATAGGAATTTGTTCATTTTTTTTTCAATTAGTTCACACAAACATTCTCCATCCATCTGGCACTGGCCCAGCTTATCTGTCAAACTTTAAAACACAATGCAGCCCCTGTGTTCAAAAGTTTGTCCATGCCTGATATATGTGTATAAGTGTGTGTGTATAGACACACACACACACATTATATATATATATATACACACACACACACACACACACATACACATTTTTAGTGCTCCATGAGAAACTTTTCCTTCAAAAAGGGTTCTGTGGCTGAAAAAGTTTGAGAACTCTTGCTCTAAAGAAATGTGGTTGCTGCCTTGTGCATATTTATGCTACATACCAGGAGTCTTCAGAGCAAAGGAAATTTCCTGGACATACCTGAAAGCAAGTGATGCATTTTAGAGAGCCAAGAGCCATGCATTCCCACCTCAGCCTCATTGCCAGCATTGCTATTTTTTCCTATTGTGACATAGAGGAACTGGAAAATGGGTGGAAGAACAGAGGAGTCAAAAATTCTCAGAAGTAAATGTTTCTCCCTTCCTCGTTCTGCTCCTCCTAGAGGCTTTATTAGCTTCCTACAATGACTGGAAAGAGCCCAAAAGTTTAACACTGTAGATAGTTCCACTGTCCATATAATGAAAACTTGCCCCAATCTTTCCAGAGACAAAAATAGACAGTGGTACCTGGTCCTATTTGCTAAAGAAAAGACATAGGAAAAGAGGTCTTCTACCCTATATTCTCAATAATACCTTCAAAGAGCAACTATACCAGCAGCAGCATCGTCTAAGGCCTGGATATCACCATTATTCTATGTCATCAATCTCAATCCCTCATAGGTTTCCATTCCAGGAATCTTAATCTCTAACCATTAGCTATTAAGGTTAGGGCTAGTGGAATTTAGAGTCCAAACATATGGAGGGCATCAGGGTACTTCTCCTGCCTTGGATTGTAAATACTCATGATTCTTTGGACTGAAATTATAGGTTTGAAGAACACAGCTAGACAAAAGTATTTTGTTATGTTTCCATTAGAGGGAAAAAAATACTAATTGTTGCTAACTCCTGCTTTCTCTCCAGCTACATCTTTGATCCCCAAGAAGTCCAAACATCTGAATACATCAGTGAAATAAACAACTACAAGTTTGGCGAGCAAGACAGAAGCAAATTTAAAATCAGGCACAACAATAACATTCAGGTACAAAAGAATGAATTGCAGAATTCTGAAGTACAATCAGCAGCAAACAGGAACAAATTAAACAAGACCGAGGATGTTATTCAAAACCACAGAGGGCTTGCTCTTCTTGACGAAGGACTTGGGAACTCTACTGCAAAGTGCAATGGAATCCATCCCTCTCCCATTGCCAACAAAAATCAAAGTGAAGAAGTCAACAGCACACAGATGTGCTCCAGTGAATTATCGGATTGTTCGGCTAAAAGGGGTTCCCAGCCACAGACTTATGATAACCATGAGACTCAAAAGACTGAAGGATCTCCAGAGTTATCATTAGGTACAACACATTCTGGCCACCATGGGGAATCTCGGTGTAGAGGTGAAAGCATGGCTTCTATTCAAGGTGTCATACAGGATGACGGAGGCAACAGCACCCACCAATCTGGACCCAATGATCCTAGTGATGTTGGGAAACTAATTGCTGTCAGAAGCAAGAGTCCATTGAGCCATCACACTCATGCAGAGCAAAGTACTGAATGCACGTCCGTGAGCCGGCATAGTAAAGACCTGCCATTACGGGAATCCAATAGCTGTAATTTAGAAGAGGCTTGTAGGACAGGCCTGTTAAACCCTTGTTTTGAGGACCAACTATCCAGTGATACCCCCTCTCCATGTACCAAGGCAGATGCAGCATCAGAAGACAAATGTGACGGCCATGAAGAGGTTAAAGGAGAGCCAGAAGAGGAGGATGCAGATGTCGCTGAGGCACTTGCAGCACTTGAGGCTGCCACAGCAGGAGAAGATTCAGAGGAGGAGGAGGAGGGCTATTAGATGACTATCAAGATACTCCTTAGGATCGCTCCAGGATTTGTGAGAAATGCTACAATACAGGCTCAGTCTTTGAGGACAACAGTTGTGGGTCTTTGCCCAGGACATCTACAACTGGAAAGAGTGTGTAATCAGGTTGAGTGAGTTACTTAGCAAGAGCAGCTACTGCAGTACCAGTCACTGCACCTTCTCCAAGATATTGCTGAGGTACTTACATCATCCAGACGAATGCTTTTGTGCCAGCGATCTATACCACTGTGAACAGACAATAGATCAATATTTATTGGCAGGTCTCAGGGTGATTTGCAATAGATTGGCAAGGGCTTCCAGCTCCCACCCTTTATTTTGTTTACAGAAACAGTGAACGGATTCTTTCGTGGCTGCCGAAATGAAGAAAACTTGGGGCAACCAGGAGTAGACCTTTGTGTGAATGAGACTGTTGGCTGACGCAACCCAATTCTGGTACAGAACAGGCATCCCATGATTCAGTGTGCACTCAGGCAATTCCTCGTTTGCAGAAAACCATTTCACCTGGCCTGAGTCTGCCATTCTCTCTCTTGCTCCTCCACCTCACCCACCTCTACTCCATATTGTCTGCTAGTCAAGGCAGTTTTTCCTTCCTTTTGCTGAGAGGGTGGTGGTGCCAGCTGTAACAAATACCAGAAAGAAAAAGAAAAGGTTGCTATAGATCTTTCACACAGAAAGAACTCTATTCAGAACACTTATACGTTGGTCAAATTCTCTTTGACAAAAAAAGCAGGATATTCTTGGTTAGTGAAAGCATTACACGTCCCTTTGGGGCAGAAACAAAAAAGTTATGTTGAATCTTTATCCTGCCACACATCCAGATTATACAGGAATTTTCTTGATCCTCCAGGGCTCACATGCACTAGGACATTCCACTTGTCTCAAAGCGAACCTGCAAAATGGTCAGTTTTAACTAGCTGTTGGCCAAACCTACCAACAGAGCTTTCTCCTCCAAATTTTCAACCACACCAAAAAGAAATCCCCTCCTTTTCAACTTTTTTTGAAGTTTGGGGAAGGGCAATGTATTGCAGGCAATACTTTACTTTACTTAGTAGCCCAAGGAGGATGGTCCTCCAAGTGTAGTGTCTTGGCGGTGGATCCATAGGTGGCTGTGGAGCCCCATTCTTGATCCGCATGTTCTCCTGCAGTGAGGACATCAGTTTCCACGTGGAACGTGGTCCTGGTCAGGGTTGGCTTGACACGCCTTCCTCTTGGCATGCTTCTCCCTTTTGCCCTCCATCCATGCCTCTTCAAATTCCACAGCACTGCGGATCACAGCTGACCTCCTATCAGAGTCTCCAAGAGCCAGGATTTCCCAGTTCTCTGTGTCTATGCCACAGTTTTTAAGGTTGGCTTTAAGCCCATCTTTAAATCTCTCTTCAACACTGTTTGCTTGTTCATTTACACTACACTTAGCAACAGCATTCCTCAGTTAAATCTAATTGGATGCATAAAGTGGGCCCTTGGTATGCAGTTTGGCTCCAGGATTCCCGGTGGATACCAAAAACCTTGGATGCTCAAGTCTCATTATATACATGGGCATCATAACATGGTGTCCCTTATATACATGGCAAAACCAAGGTTTGCTTTTAGGGATGAAAGGTCAGAGAAAAAAAAATCAAGCTGTGGATGGTGGATCCATGGATGAAAATTCAAGGATATAGAGCAGTGGTTCTCAACCTGTGGGTCCCCAGATGTTTTGGCCTTCAACTTCCAGAAATTCTAACAGCTGGTAAACTGGCTGGGATTTCTGGGAGTTGTAGGCCAAAACACCTGGGGACCCGCAGATTGAGAACCACTAATATAGAGGGGTAATCATATACTGTTTTGATGTTGCATCCACAGTTCTGTCACTTCTGATCATATGTGGGAATGAGGAACTGGTCACAGCCCAGAAAGTCAGGGAGAGAAGATGGTGCCTTATAATATTAGAAAAAGAAATGAAAAAAATCAGTACGTGTGTGCCTTGAAAAAACATCTACACTATAATTGTTGATTTCTACCCAAAAACTTAAATCAGAAGAATATTTCACTTAGCTTTAGTTTTATGTATTTATATAAACCCTTTTTTTACAATCACACCAAAAGCTAAATAGTCCCAATTACATCAAATTTAATTATCATGATGTAACAAAATTGTTTTTGTTCCTAGCTTGAAAGTGTTATTACCTGTTTAATTGGTAGTACAGTGGGTTAAACCTCTGAGCCGCTGAACTTGCTGACCAAAAGGTTGGTGGTTCGAATCTGGGGAGCCGGGTGAGCTCCCGCTATTAACCCCAGCTTCTGCCAATCTAGCAGTTCAAAAACATGCAAGTGTGAGTAGATCAATTGGTACCACATCAGCGGGAAGGTAACAGTGCTCCATGCAGTCATGCCGGCCACATGACCTTGGAGGTGTCTACGGACAATTCCAGCTCTTTGACTTAGAAATGGAGATGAGCACCACCCTCCAGAGTCAGACACAATTAGACTTAATGTCAGGGGAAACCTCCCCTTTACCATTACTTACTTTGAGTGAGCTCCCACTGTCAGCCCCAGATTCTGCCAACCTAACAGTTTGAAAACATGCAAGTGTGAGTAGATCAATTGGTACCACATCAGCGGGAAGGTAACAGTGCTCCATGCAATCATGCCAGCCACATGACCTAGGAGGCGTCTATGGACAACGCAGGTTCTTCGGCTTAGAAATGGAGATGAACACCACCTCCCAGAGTCGGGCTCGACTAGACTTAATGTCAAGGAGAAACCTTTAACTTTGCCTTACTTACTTTGAAAGCAGTTGTTATATTCCAGAAACTTGGTTTTTGTGGCTGCCACAAACTATGTTGAATTGGTTGAGACCTTATGAGATCTTCATTGAAAACTATAGCAAAATGTGCTGCAGGATGTTGCACAAAAACAAAGTTTGTGCATTTTAATGAACTTTTCTATGTTTTTATGATAGAACCAATTAAGAAATGATATTTATAACCCATGAACAAAAATCATGTTACATAGAGTTATTCCTTCTCCCACCGGAACCTAATGGTGCTACTTCTCCTTCCATCTGTGTGTTGTACATATACACAGCAGGAATGTGTCAATTTCGTCATGCCGCTGAAGTGCATCAGCTTCCTTACCACAAATTCAGACACGTGTTAATTTTCAACACTTGCCAGAAAAAAAAGCATGCCATAGCTTCCAAGCACAAGAGATTCTTGCTGTAAAATTAAACCACACAAGAGCAAGGGATTTGTATGCTGCAGTCTTGAGTGTGACTAAGTGCAAATTAACATGGAACTCAAATTACACACGCTTGCGAGCAAATGACAAGTCTTGACACGCATTGGTATGACTACATTTCTCATTATTCGCAAGAAGAATGTATGGAAGGAGTCCATTAAAAGCATTGTTGGGCATGACCTAAAAGCTCCCTGTCTAATATACACCACCGTCACGTGGCCCAGTATCGGTGCACGTAAACTGTAAAATAAGGTGCCTGTTCCTTGCCAAAATTCCTCTTTGAAGAGCTTTGTTGTTTGAATTGTGTGCCTACAGCAAATCAAAATCATTTCCAAATATAATAAATTTGTCCTTTTCAACATGCTTGCAAATCTTTTTTTCCTTTGTCTCCCCTCCCTTTCCCCAAATATGCCATCCTCCCCCTTCTCCTTCATGTGCGCCATTGCAGTGCCAGAAATAGTTTGGTTCTTGGGCAGATCTTGCAAATGTTATTTTCATTGATTGGGGATTCAAAAAGGAAACTTTTGAGCAGCATTGCTTTCAGGACTTGTTCAAACACATTATTTAAAAACAGACATATAATATAGCATAGAAAAAAACCTTCAAACAACTCCTTTTTTTAAAAAAAAGGAAGATGCATAAGAAGGATGAAGGAAGTACTGCTTTCAAGTAAAGCAAGTAAAGACACAAAATAAACTAAAAGTAAACAATGCTTTTTCTTAAAGTTAGTACTTTTGAGCTTAGACTTGGTGATTAGACAGATCAGTCTGAAGTTAAAGATGAATTGAATTAGTTTCTGCTTGAAATGTTTTAAAACTTAGATGCAAGACACTCCACTTAGGCAGAAAAAATGAAATGCAATGATACAGAATGGGGGAAGCCTGGCTCGACAGCAGTATGTGCGAAAAAGATCTTGGGAGTTCTTGTGGACAACAAGTTAAACATAAGCCAACAATGCGATGCGGCCGCTGAAAAAGCCAATGGAAGTTGAGTGTCTAGATCAGTGTTTCTCAGCCTGGGGTCTGGACCCTGGGGGTTCTTGACTGGGATGTTGAAGGGGTCACCAGTAACCATTCAGAAAACTATTTTTGTTGTTCATGGGAGTTCTGTGTGGGAAGTTTGGCCTAATTCTGTCGTTGGTGAGGTTCAGAATGCTCTTTGATTGTAAGTGAACTATAAATCCCAGCAACTACAACTCCCAGATGTCAAGGTCTGTTTTCCCCAAACTTCACACATTTGGGTATATTGAGTATTGGTGCCAAGTTTGGTCCAGGTCCATCATTGTTTGAGTCCACAGTCCTCTATGGATGTAGATGAACTACAACTCCAAAACTCATGGTCAATGCCCACCAAACCCTTCCAGTATTTTCTGTTGGTCATGAGATTTCTTTGTGGCAAGTTTGGTTTAATACCATGATTGGTGGAGTTCAGAATGCTCTTTGATTGTAGGTGAACTATAAATCCCAGCAACTACAACTCCCAGATGTCAAGGTCTGTTTTCCCCAAACTTCACACATTTGGGCATATTGAGTATTCATGCCAAGTTTGGTCCAGATCCATCATTGTTTGAGTCTACACTCCTCTCTGGATGTAGGTGAACTACAGCTCCAAAACTCATGATCAATGCCCACCAAACCCTTCCAGTATTTTCTGTTGGTCATGAGATTTCTGTGTGCCAGGTTTGGTTTAATACCATGACTGGTGGAGTTCAGAACGCTCTTTGATTGTAGGTGAACTATTAATCCCAGCAACTACAAATCCTGAAAGACAAAATCAATAACATCCCTCCCACCCCCCACCCCAAAAAAAACACCTCACCAATATTCAAATTTGAACATATCGAGTATTTGTGCCAAATTTGGTCCAGTGAATGAAAATACATCCTGAATATCAGATTCATTATGATTCATAACAGTAGCAAAATTATAATTATGAAGTAGCAACGAAAATAATGTTATGGTTGGGGGTCACTACAACATAAGGAACTGTTTTAAGGGGTCGCAGGATTAGGAAAATTGAGAACCACTTGTATAGATCCAGGTAAGCTTTGGATAGACCACACCTGGAATACTGTGTCCAATTCTGGGCACCACAATTGAAGGGAGYTGTTGACAAGCTAGAATGTGTCCAGAGGAGGGRGACTAAAATGATCAAAGGTCTGGAGAACAAGCTTTATGAGGAGCGGCTTAAAGAGCTGGGCATGTTTAGCCTGCAGAAGAGAAGGCTYAGAGGAYACATGATGAGGGCCATGCATATATATGTTAAGGGAAGTCATAGGGAGGAGGGAGCAAACTTGTTTTCTGCTGTCCTAGAGACTAGGWRGCGGAACAATGGCTTCAAACTACAGGAAAGGAGATTCTACCTTAACACAAGGAAGAACTTCCTGACTGTGAGAGCTGTTCAGCAGTGGAACTCTCTGCCACGGAGTGTGGTGGAGGCTCRTTCTTTGGAGGCTTTGAAACAGAGGCTGGATGGCCATCTGTCAGGGGTGCTTTGAATGTGACTTTCTTGCTTCTTGGCAGGGGGTTGGATTGGATGGCCCAGGAGGTCTCTTCCAACTCTTATGATTCTATGTGAGGGAGGAGGCACAGGTTCCTGTGGAAAACGGCACAGAGAAGAACCATCCAGACATTATTGGAGATGAATGATACCTGAGTAAATGTATAGCAAACAAAACTTACCACCAGTTGCTTGGTGCACTATTAATGAAAATTCTTGCTTTAATTTTCCATAATAGAGCTGTGAATACTTTGATCCAAATTAAATACGTTGATGACATTTGGAGAATGCTTATTATGTAAATCTTATGAAAAAATATGTCTTAATTGCCAATTTGGCAAGATATTCCCTTGAATTTCAAACTGCCAAAATGAGCCTTGCTTTCTTAGCTCTGCGGTAGGGTGATTCTTGACACAGCATCCAAATTTCAGTTATCAACTGTCATTCTTTCCGAGTTTAGATCTATCAAGAATGCAATGCAACTTGTCAACGAAAACACTTGAAGTAGAACAAAACTTTATCGTTCGATTTTCACACATATTACTTTTTCACAAATAGCTTCATTGTTGGCAATAAGACTTTTGAAGTTGAACGATTTGCAACTCTGATTTTAAAATGTGCAAAAATGACCTCTATCTGTTGTTTTGACCAAGTCTCTGCATCTAACTACTCAAAGGGAGTGTGTGTATTTGTGTCAGCAGCCATGAAGTTGATTTCAACTTCTGATCCTGTGAACTCATAAGAAGAAACTGGCAAATTACTTCTCCGAGGGCCCTTCCACACAGCCATATAACCCAGAATATCAAGGCAGGAAATCCCACATTTATCTGAGTATGGACTCAGGGCCCTTCCACCCAGCCCTATATCCCAAAACATCAAGGCAGAAAATCCCATATTATCTGAGTGTGGACTCAGATAACCCAGTTCAAAATAGATATTGTGGGATTGTATGCCTTGATATTCTGGGATATAGCACWATGTGGAAGGAKTCATAGKTCACCCAGTCCAAAGCAAATATTGTGGGATTTTCWYCCTTGGTATTCTCGGAWATAGAACTGTCTGGAAGGGCCCTGGATTAWCTGAGTCCACGCTGCCATATATTCCAGTTCAAAGCAGATAGTATCYGATTTTATTCAGCTGTGTGGAAGAACCTTAGTGTTCCTTGCTTAAGYAATCCTTATGAAATTGATAGGGTTGTCCATGAGTCTAGAAGCAACTTGAAGGCACYTACACACATGAATRGAGAGACTTCTGAGGGCCCTTTCACACAGCCCTATATCCCAGAATATCAAGYCAGAAAATCCCATATRATCRGAGTGTGGACTCAMATAACCCAGCTCAAAGCAGAMATTAGGGAAGGGCCSCAAYTCACCTTATCATCAACAGCCTTGCTCAGGCTTTGCAGATTCRGTARCTTGTGTTACATAATATCTAACCTGCTTTGGAACATAGTCTTCCTCATTTCCTTTCATGATATGCCCAAAATATACCAGTCCTCATTTAATCATCTTGCCATCCAAAGCAAATTCAGACTCTGGGGYACTTCCACACAGCCCTATATCCCAGAATATCAAGGCAGAAAATCCCACATTTTCTGAGTGTGGACTCAGATAACCCAATTTAAAGCAGATACTGTGGGATTTTCTGCCTTGATATTCTGAGGGCTGTGTGGAAGGGCCCTGAGTGTTCCTTACCTAAGGAAACCCTGTGAAATTCATAGCATCACTGTAAGTCAACAGGCAAGTTGGAAGTACACACATAAGCGTACACAGTTTATATATGGAGATATATTGGGCACTATCTTAAAGCCTCATCAAAGGCAAGTTTCCTTGGAAATTATGAGCTATTTGTTTCAGTAGAACATATTCCCAAGTGAATGTGATTAGTAACACAAACTAAGACCAAAGTTCCGCAGCTGAAGGGCAAGATTTAATCAAACATTGTTCTTGCCCAGGTTCATTTTGCAAATCCAGAGAACAATTTTCCAATTTTGCTTTCTTCCCAATGTACAAGGACTGCCACCTCCAGGTCTAAAAGATTATTGCATCATGATCATGTTCCCAATTTAGCTGAAGCAATGGAATCCGAACAATTTCCAGCATTTGCCTCCATACCAAAGTATTTGTTAATGATCTACCACTGGCCTTGGCTAGCATTTGTCATTCTAAACCAGGGGTCCTCAAACTTTTTAAACAGATGGCCGGTCACAGTCCCTCAAACTGTTGGAGGGGTGGATTATAATTTGAAAAAAGCATGAATGAATTCCTATGCACACTGCACATATCTAATTTGTAGTGCAAAAAACACATAAATACAATAATTAAAATGAAGAATAATTTTAAGAAATATAAACTTATTAGTATTTCAGTGGGAAGTGAGGGCCCGATGAGATAGGATTGTTGTTGTTGTGTGCGTTCAAGTCATTTCAGTCTTAGGTTGACCCTGAGCGAGGGCCGGGTAAATGACATTGGAGGGCTGCATCTGCCCTCAGGCCTTAGTTTGAGGACCCTTGTTCTAAACCTTCACAGTAAAGTACTTACTTACTTACTTAGGTGATCCCTCGTTGTCCGAGGAAGATTGTCCTCCAAGTGTGGTGTCCTGGCGGTGGGTACATAGGTGACTGTGGAGCCCTATTTTTGACCTGCATGTTCTCTCGCAGTGAGGGCATCCGTTTCCAGGTGGAAGGCAGTCCCGGTCGGGTTTGGCTTGATGCACCTTCCTCTTGGCATGTTTCTCTTTCGTACTCCATTCGTGCTTCTTCAAATTCTACAGCACTGCTGGTCACAGCTGACCTCAAGCTAGAGCACTCAAGGGACAGGGTTTCCCAGTTCTCGGTGTCTATACCTCAGTTTTTAAGGTTGG